ATCTGCCTCGTCAGTCAAGTATCGAAAGATACATGATCGCCTACGCGTGTATCACGCATGGCACATAATTGACTGAGTGTTCACCCTGTATAAGGCCCTGGGGCCACTCGAGGTAGAGGGTTACAGGGTAAGAGGTACTGCTTAAGTGGATATGTGTGTAGGATAACGGTTAACCCGCGACATGAACAGGTTAATATTACAATGATCGGGGAAGAAGTCTCTTGGGAGTCGGCTCAATTAGGCAGCAGTTCGTGGAAGAAGCTGTTCGAGGGGTTTATGAAGGGAACGACGGTGGTTCGTTAGAAAGGGTGTGGCATGGCGAATCTTAGTCAAAGCTAGAACTGGTGGAACTAAGGCGTGTAGTTCATCGGAACACTATCCATAGAAATAGCGACAGACAGAAACTTAGGAAATAAAGTATTGTCAGTGGTCAGGAATTAATGCAAGACTTAATGACCGAATATCTATAAAATGGATTATTTTATGCTTTATTTATGCTTTTTATTTATTAACAGTTAACACTCCGGTCTTTTGAAGATAAATAGTTTATCCATTGTTTCCCGTTTAGGACTGACTTTCCGCTTCCCGCTAAATTATTTTCATTCTCTTTAACTGCCAGTAGCCCCTTTGCATCTGAGTGGCATTATCACCTTGCTTGGGGTGAATTGATTAACAAAAAATAAGCAATAATATTAGCAAAATAAAAGGCTGATGAATGTTAGATAATGACAAAAAGCCCTTACTATCATGTCAAAATGGGCCCTTCGATATGGTGTAATGGCCAGCAAGATTGTCTTGCGAAATCAATTACGATTGAGTAGTGAGGAATGATATATAGTCCTTATGTAGAAGCCAGTAAAATGAAGTCAATTCCGTTTTACCAGCAGCAGAAACCGAATACCAGTATCCAGGTTCGGATTATCATATAGGCTACTATAGACTGCAGCCTAGGGCCCCTCATTGTGTTTCAAGTAGATGTTTGATTTTAGTTCGAAATGTTTAAATCTTAGAATGTTTTTATAAAGCAGTGATTTTAATTTTCTAGATGCTGCAACTTCTACATAGAAATTCTGTCAGTATGACAAACTCATATTTATTTTCATTGTTTTAATGTTATAATGCTTGTTATAAAAAAAATCCGTTTTTTAATACTACGGTTATGTTAAAATATGTGTTGATAATAATTTGGTTTGAAATAAATAGCAAAATAGTGGTATTTCTTAAATAATATTTTTATTGGCAAACAAAAGAGAACTATTCTAGTTTTATTTAAAGAATTTGCAATAAGTTTACATCAAGCTATGCAAATATTGCTAAAATTTTTCACGAGTAAAAAATGTCCATGACGGGTACGGGCGAGTTAGAGAGTGGTTTCGTTTGAAGAGGGCCCCATAATTTCATTAGCTTAGGAAGCCCAAAAGGTCATAATACGGCCCTGCCAGTAACACGTATTGAGTCAGGTGTTAGGAAATTGAGATTTTATTTTTAGGTCTACGCCTATCAACCTGTAAAGGGGGAGAGTCCAAAAGATTGTTTCTTTTCGACTGAGAATCTTATAAATGCTATACTATTGAGTTTTACAAGTACTGACTTTTACAGCTACGACACGCCATGCCATTTCCACAAAGTCGAATCATCCTCATTTCTTCTGTGTTTGGTTTGGTTGATTTTGTTTAGTGACATATCAACACTTCTATGGGTTATCTAATGCCGAAATCTAAATATTTTGAACACAATTTTATGGCTTCAACTACAGATAAACTATATTGTTGGTAATTCTAATATAAAAATCTACTTTTATACTTTCATAATGTTTTGTTTTTGTTTGGGAGTTCACTATTTGCCCATAGCTGGGACCCTAACAGGTGCTACTACCCCGGGTTAGAGTGTACTTGAGAACAACGGAAATTAAAAGGTGGTTCCATGTTTCTAAAAATCTCCAATCTCTCGATCAGAGGCCTAGCTGCCGGAAGTAGTTCATCGTCATACCCAGGACTCGTTCCAAATGTAAGAAATTCTTGCTCAGACAGATTTTTCCAAAGAACTGACACTTTGTGGAACAGTCTCCCGTGTGGTTGCTTCCCTGAGCATTAGAAATCATATCCTCTTCGAGTCATGAGTCAATCGTTATCTACCCTCCTTATCCTCATAATATTCACTTCCTGCCATCTCCTCTTTCTTCATATCACACACGTCATTCGCCGTTAAGAGGGGGCGGGGAGGAGAGGTGGAGTCCTAAGGGTATTTGTGCGTAAGTGAATGTAACTAGTGGAATTCGAACTCGGCTCTCAGATTTCTCATTCAGAGTCGCCATCCGTTACACCATCACACGCACATATATATAGATATATAAATATCTTTCTCTTTCTCTCTCTCTATATATATCGAGAGTGAGAAAGAGAGAGAGAGAGAAAAAGGAAGGGAGAGAGAGAGAAAGCGAGAGAGAAAGGGAGTGAGAAAGAGAGAGAGAAAGAGAAAGGGAGAGAAAGAAAGAGAGAAAGAGAGGGAGAAAGAGAGAGAGAGAGAGAGAGAGAGGGGGAGAGAGAGAGAAAGAGAAAAAGAAATACAGACAGACAGACAGACAGGGTAACAGGAAATGACAAAATAAGGAGTATGTAACTATAATTTATCATAGGATAGTGACAAATGATTTATATTGCTTAAGTGCAAATCTGTTTTTCATATTTATCTGAGGTTTGGCTTGACTTATTACTACAGCACTCGGATAGCCGAAACATCCAAAATTGGTTGGGAGCATTCACCATGTCCGTATTCCCAAGAAGGAAAATTGATTTTAAATCTCATCATAATGTGTAAGAAACTACTAACCACTCATAATGTGAAATGTCATTGCCATTTTTATTATAAGCGGAGAGATAAACAAATTGGCACGATGTGAAACCATCCGGAAAATAAAACCAACCACCTATTCAGTTTCCATTTTGTGTTAATGCACTTGGAAAAAGGAATGAACCTAATACTCCCTGTCGGTCGTTAGACTGACCACATCACCGTGAAAGGAAATAATGAAAGAGGAGCGTCCAGACAATTTTGGATTGCCATGTTGGACTACAAGTAACGAATTGAGTTGCATTTGAAAGCTCAGTGTTACTAAATTTTGAATTGACTTACTTATAATTAGTAGCCGAAGTTAGTCAGTTTATTTCAAAAGCAAACCGAAAAGTTGCAAGTAGAAATATTTAATACTAGCAGCATGGCCCGACGTTGCCCGTGCTTGATTCAAAAATCGTACGACTCATACAGCAATCGTTATCACTTGACTTAAAATATTTTTGCCCTTCCTTGCCTTTAAAGGAGTGCCCTTTGCCGTACTGATGTTGCTACATGCCTTACTTCCTGCCTATCTCACACTGCGAATTTTTCTAAGCTCTATACTAAACATTAAATCTGTTACAAAAAAAAGAACTAAACAAAATGAACACAAAACGATCAGCTTTAAAAAAAAAAGGACTCGTAACTGGAAAAACCGAATGAAAAAGAATGTTAACAACAAATACTTTTTCACACCCAACCCAGTTCTGCGGAATCAGAATCAACGTTGAGTTTAAGCAAGCGAATGAGCCAATTGGAGTAAAGTGCCATGCAGATTTAAATTTTTCCCACTTGTGACGAATTCAGCTATCGATTTTTTTTGCATGCTAGCATGCTAGTTAACATTCGTGTCAGTCAGCTATTGGCACTCACGCTGGCCAATAGAATCTTCCTGCCTATTCGTGGCAGCCAGCTATTGGCTCTCACTCTGGCCAGTAGAAAATGGCCGCAAACTACATGAAAACTGCCGTAGAAGCATGAAAAAATCGATTATTTCCACTATCGATGGGAGTTGGAAAATGCAAAGTCGGTCTTGGCCTTCTTGCTAACTTGGAGCATGTGCATGTAAATTTTGGTGCAAATCCGTCGAAAATTGCGGCCGTGCATTCGTTACACACACACACACACACACAGACACACACACACACATCCTGCCTTTTATAGATAGAGATTGGGTTGGTGCCTAATTATCAGGCGTTATTAAACAATATTTATTATGAAAAAAGAAATATAACAGCTCAAAAATAATATTTTTAAATGATTATTCTAGAGCGTATGATTATCAACACGCATTTTTTATAAACTGAAAATAAAATTATTAAAAAAAAAATGAGCAAAACACCAATTTTTATTAACAAATAACGCCTACAAAAACGCCTGATAATTATGCACCAACCCAATATTTAGCAGTGTTTGGGAACCGTGTAAACAGCACAAGTCTTTTGCCTTAAAATTCTATATTACTCGACCAACACGGAACGCTGTGTTCTTGAAACGTTTTTTTTCTTTATCTTTTCTTAAATCGCACTCTTTTCTTAACTGTTGAAAAATAATTGATGAATTACACCAATCATTATTATTATTATTATTATTATTTATTTATTTATTTTTTTTTTCTGGAGTATTTCTTTCTGGGTCCCGACCAGAGACCTAAGGTCAGAAATGGTGCCATGACATTTTCCACTGAACAATTAAAAAAAAAAATAAATAAATAAATAAACATATTTTACATACAAATTAGAGACATGTTATAATAGATCATTCCATCTTAAATAAATCAACAATGTTTTGCGGCAATTTTTTAACCTCAACTGGATATTTTTCTCCTTAAAATGTTGAATAATTTTAACACATTAAACGTGAACTTTATCTAGTGCTTTTTGCAAGACCCAGCTTGAGCAAATCAAATTCACGAATTTGAACGAAAAGAAAAAAAGATTTTTCATATTTCATCCTTTGAATTGTCAGCTGTGCTTAGTTTAATTTGTAATATATATAAATGTCGGTAGACGAAAAGTAAATATTGATAAGATAGCAAGAGTCACAAATCACTGACCGGGGCCCCCAATCAGCACACCCTACCCAGATCAGTAATTTATTTTTTTTTTTTTATTAATACATGAATATGATCACAGCCTTCTGATACCTCCCACACCATTTTTTTTACTATGTTGCGTCTCCATCATCCGCAGTTCATTTCTCTCAGCAGATTCGTACGTCTTTTCTTATCACGTGACCGTCGACAAACCCAATTGCAGTCAGAACTGAAGAGAGGGCGAGAGAGAGAGAGAGAGGGGAGCAAAAGGGCAAAAAGATAGAAGGTAGAGAGGACGAAGAGGAGAGAAAAGGTTTCTTTTGGTTTCCTATCTCAGCCTCTTGTCATCTTGAACTTTTGAGGGTGGAGGAAGGAACGCCCAGGTTTCTTCTCCTGAAGTGCTAACAGACGAAAAAAAAAAAAACATCTGCGGGATGGGTGGACGATGAAGGAGAAGGCGCTATGCTTAAAGAAGTTTCCCAGATAAATAAAAATAAAAACGAATACAAAATAAACATAGTTTTGTTAAAAATAAAAGGGTATAACCTAGAAATTACTTTGGCCTGGAACTCATTTCTCTGTGTGTGTGTGCGTCAAGATAACCTTCGAACGTATGACGATAAACTGCACCCACGCATAGTGGAAATGATAAATAGGTGCGTGCGTGTGCGCGCGTGTGTGTGTGCCCGTGTGTAAGCGTGATTATGTCTCATTGCGTTCCTTCTTACGTGCTGGTGTGTACGTAGGAACATCAATAAGTCTGTAGCCTAACAAAGAAAAACGCTTTTACAGTAGTTCTCTCTTATCCACGTGGAATATGTTCCAAAACAAAGAATGGATGCTTACAATCGTGGATAGTGAAGAACCTTATATACTAGTTTTTCTATGCATATATAATATAGTAATAAATTATCTATATTAAAATATCTATAACAATATACTAATAAAATAGAACAATTATAAAAATAAACTGTAATAGTAATGCTCTAGCCGTTTCCTTATAAGGAAACATTAGACATTCATTGACCGAGCAGCCAGTGCTGCTACCGGTTGAGGATTACAAAATATTTTTATTAAAACAATTTTTTCGTAAAAATAGAT